CAGGAATGCTAACACAGGCATCATATGCCTGGCAGCCAACAAACACTAATAGAGGATTCCTCCTCAAAGATGTAAAAGAACCGGAAAGTAGGACATGATATGGCATGACAATATGGAAACACCAATTATGCAAAAGAAAAAAAATGGTGAAATGAACACAAATGCACACTGTGCTAACGCAGCCTGTTGAAGGCAACTGAATTGAGGTCTTTCTAAGATTCTAACAAATAACATCTGAACACCCTTTTGCAGGGGGTTACAAAAGGAAATCAGCTCCTGCCCAGATTTTCACCACTTAATGAGTAGCTAAATACAAGCTTTTACCTTCTTAGTTAAAGTCTGAGAAGAGCAGGATTTTACTATTGTCATCTCTTTTCAAGCAGGAGCTCCAAAAAGCTCTTAGCACTGCAGACTGTAAATTATTTGGGAAGAGAGAGAATTAAAAAAAGATGGAATTTTCTTCCCCCCCTTTTTTTTTTTTATTTTGAGGGATGTGTGCATAAGTTTATGTCAGGGAGACTCTGCTGACAAAACACTGCTCCTCTTACCCTGTGTGCTCTGTGGACTAGCACCATCCTCTCCGCACACTGCTGGCTCCACTTTGACAACAGCTGCCAGGGAAGTCCACTCCCTGTTTGGGTCTGGCTTCCCCTGTTTCGGGAGCACGGAGCTATAGTGCACGTAACAGAGATGAGCGATCTCATCGGCCGACCACATCACCACGGCGGAAAAAGCGTTCAGAACAGAAGTGAGGGCTGAGCAGCGTTCCTCACCTCTCCAGGCCCCACAGCCCGCTTCTGCGGGACACACCCCCGCACCAGATCCCACGCCGAAGACCCATTTACACCATAATTCTCGGGATTATTTATCACAACTGTCATATAAAGTAGGAATGTCTTAGTTTTCTCTGGAATCGCTAGAAGAAGCGACAGCACTGGAGGTCACGCACGTCAGCAGTGGACGGACTCGCTCTACTTCCCCGGGCTCCTACCGTGAAAGCCGCCCCTCCGCATC